CACCTAGCTACCACTGGCCGATCTTCGCCCCGCAATACAACTACACACAAATTTATTTATTGCGCGAGCGGCATCACCACAGAAGAGCAGGAGGATCTAGGCTTCAAAGAATTCATCAGCCAAACAGTACTCAGTAATGACGCCGTTTAAACAATGTCCAATCTCCTCTGGGACCCCAATTTAGCTCCCGACTAATTGGGCCCACAGCGGTCTTTCAGATCTACTAAATTTGGGCAAACAAGGTACCTTTGACGTACTGTACATGCCCTCTTCATTTACCTCACTTCGGCAAACTATTAAGTACCCACCTGAGCGCAGCAGACCATGTCCGACCTTGGGTCCCACGCCTGCCACATTCGCGCAGTGGCACCCACCCAACCGCCTCCGCATTGTGCGCACTTAAACAGCAGCACATTCCAGCTCTAGCGTCAGGTACATCATGGTCACCGAGGGAGCCCCGAGTCTACCTCGGCCCATTTACCCCCCTCGTGGACTCATCCCGCTATAATGGGGGGCATCGATGGCCTCCACTGTAGAGCGAAATCGATATACTACGAGAGCCTCCCCCAACCTCCTCTCCTGCGCACCCCGAGTTGACGACGAAACATCCCTATTTTATTAGGTGGACTCGCACTGGCGGGTGGATAAACACCAATTGTGGCCTCTCGACAACGTTCGCGAAGCATCAGTGGACTTGCTACAGGACCCCATCTCTCCGCGAAGTGAAAGCCATGAAAGCTTTCCCAAAGAACGGTTGTGACTCCCAAAATGCTGAGGAATGCACCGTGCCAGACTGTCATTGTCTGTTGTGACTCACCCACTAACACTGCCCTCCACAGTATTGTAATAAATCAATATTAAATCGAGAATTAATATATTTATGTTATTTTATTGTTAATAATAAAGAATTGTTTTTTTGTAAATTAAAAAGAAAGAGAATCGATGTTTCATATCTAAAAAATTGATGGTGAGAAAATGGACAGAGAAGATGACCATCTAATCACCTCAGGGACAGCATCGAAAAAAGAACCAACCTTAAAAAACACAAACAGTACGACTCATCCCCCCCCGCAGCGCTTCATCTCTCTATTATCTCTTTATTTTCCCGGCAAACGGCGATGCTCTACAACAACGCTCGTACTCGGGCGCCCGGCCACCCACCCCCCTCCCAACCCGCCTAACCTCACGCCCGACCCATACGCCGCCCACTCTCTAGTGCACCACAAAACTTCGGCTGCGCACTTATCGAAACCTCCACCTGCGACATTACCCTTACATGAGTGTCTGGGCTCTACACCACGAAAGCTGGAACTGCTTTTTAACCCGTGTTTGGCATCCGCGTACCCTTACCCCAGCCAATTTCCCCGTAAGTGAAACAAACCACTACGCGCGACACGGATGGACTAAGGATTACAATCTGTATGTCTAAACCACTCCCCCCCCCCCTAAGCGTCTTTTTTCCACTACCCAGAATTTATGCCCTCATAAGACCCATCGCGCGAATGATCCCCTCAACGCATGCTCTACACTCCCTCCCGTTAAATTACCATGTTGAAATCTCCTATGCCGGACATGTCTTCTTCACCCACAAGCACGTACTTACATGCGATCCACGCCCGTATGGCAATCCCTCCCTCCGCAACAGCACGATGGCTTCCCTCTGCTATATAGGACATACTTCCCCAACCCCCAAGAGACTTACACCCATTCTCCCTCCACCACTCACATGCGTGTTTACACTACAAAACAAGAAAAACTAGAAATACACCTATCCTCTAACCCCCGCCCACTCTCAACACCGACAGACAACATTCTAAATTAATCTCCCCCACCAGCACATAATTTTTTCTACACAAAGACAAGAGAACACACAACTGACGGAAAACAATGGAAATATATACCTAATTGGCTCACTCACCAGTTATCACGTACAACCACGAGTGACCAAGCGCACCAGAAGCTGCCTCATGATTGACTACCCAACTCGACGTCGAACTCTCCCACAATGAGCCTCCCCCTCGCCACATCTACCAACCCCGCCCCCCAAATTTGACAACCTTTGACGGGCTACCACTACCACCAGAAGTTACAGGCCCTGCACACCAAGGGTCAAACATCAACCAAAAACCAGCTAAGCCCCAACACCTCCTCTCACCTTCCGGACACAGGCGACAGAATAGGTGCGCCAATACACACCTCTCCGAAACCAAGCGAGACACCGGCGTCGCTACCCCCCTCACCCGAATGCTTACCTTGAAAAAACCAACATACCACGTCGCGCCAGAATATATCGACATTCTGGCCACTTTACAAGAATAGCCAGAATAGAAACACCCCCCCGTTTTAACTATAAATAATTTTGGAGTTAAAAAATACATTTTTGAAGAATTGAATGAAAATTAAACTATTTGGAAGTCCACCACACTAGCCCACACTTCGATGCGCAGACTGAACAACATACCCTTACGAGTTTTCGAAAACAAAATCAAATTTTTAAAACAGAAAAATACAACTTCTTGCGCAATACTGCTGCCAAACTGACCAGATAACAAGTCACAATCAATCAAATCTGCGCAGCTGTCACACACCAAACGGCATGCTTCACTCTCCAAGCTTACACCCCTACTCTCATGACTCTCTCCCAACGTTCCCATGATGCTCACCCCTCGACACCGCTCCTTTCCCTCGCTTCAACAAAACTATGCATCGTCATTTGGTAAGAATGAATATACTCCCACACGCCTCAGGACCCCCGCGACTCACACTGCCGTACACCATCCCAATACTCTGACCTTTCTACTTAACGAAGTTTGCTCGATCCAACTCCTTCTTGAATTGTATACACATAGCATCAACGCCACCACCCTCAGATCACCGCACTATAATCGAATGCACCTCAAATATCATGCTCATCTATTCCTCGGCGCAATCGGGTCCAACCCTACAGCTGCTCTATAGCGCCAAGATCCACAACCCATTCACCTTACTATTGAATCAAATTACAAACAGAATCCTACCACGTATCGCTACACGACCACCTGCGTTCTTATCCCCGAATCACATATCATCCACGCCCAGTTTTCATTCAGCCACCACACGTCACAACTGCCTGCCGACATCCCCCCCCCCTCCCCATCCGCGCGCGGACAACCGAGACATCAAGACCCAATACGCCTACCAGGATCCCACATCAACCACAACGCCTTGGTTGACTCCTAACCATTATCCCCCCGTCCAAAACCCATTCGACGCGCGCCGCCTACAAGTCTACACTAACGCATGAGAAATTATTAAGTAGCTACAAGAAAAAAAATCCCTCACGGCCGAACAACAAGAAACAACAGAACCGCCAGCACAAGAGGCTTCCTTTCCTACACTCGCTCGCGAATCCCATAAGTACCAACTACCAATGTGAAATATTATGTTAGACAAACATCGCCTCTAATGCTAACGGCGTATTCACACGGACCCATGACACAATGACTAGAAAGGTACATCGGCTCACCACCAACCCCCAGTAAATCCTATCTGCAGCTCTCAAACTTATGCGCTTCGAAGTCCAACAGAATAGGCGATCAAAAGGGAGATGGCGCACGTTATATACTCTAATCCCCCACAGCACACGAATTAAATAATTCTATTAAAACTCATGGCTTTCTCCATCATTCTCAATCCTCAAATCAAACATCTCACGGAACGCCCCCCCAAACTATCCCCACATTCGGCTTAACACCCTGGATACAAAGCGACACAGCCATCTGTTTCCGTGACTCCGTTCAGTTACAAAATTAACTTACAAAAGAAATTAGAATTTATCCGGAATGTAAAATTCGGAAGAATGTAGGAAAGGAAGAACAGAACAAGAAATACGTAATGCGTAGAAAAACTTAAATCAAATATTTTAAAAAATATAAGTAATTATAAAGTTGGATAGCAAAAGTGAATGTCAAAGTGGAGTCTATGTGCGTTGCATATACTTAGTAAGTGGGGCAAGTAAGAATAAAACTATTGTAGATATATTGAACGGAATTTTGACTAGCAATCAAGAGAATTTTGCAATTTGGATTATGTAATGTTTGTTGGAAGTTTATGATTGGCATTTTCAGCAGAAATATTGGCCCTAACAATTTAATTCAGAGAAAGTGTTATACAATGAGTCAATGTAAAACTGCATGCCCCATAACCAAGATATGCAATGAAGAACAGATTTCATGCATGTGGCAATCATCAGAACAAGTTGACAACCTTGGTCTGTCTGTTTTCACAGAAATCACCAAAAAAGGCATTTTCAGCAGAAATATTGGCCCTAACAATTTAATTCAGAGAAAGTGTTATACAATGAGTCAATGTAAAACTGCATGCCCCATAACCAAGATATGCAATGAAGAACAGATTTCATGCATGTGGCAATCATCAGAACAAGTTGACAACCTTGGTCTGTCTGTTTTCACAGAAATCACCAAAAAAGGCATTTTCAGCAGAAATATTGGCCCTAACAATTTAATTCAGAGAAAGTGTTATACAATGAGTCAATGTAAAACTGCATGCCCCATAACCAAGATATGCAATGAAGAACAGATTTCATGCATGTGGCAATCATCAGAACAAGTTGACAACCTTGGTCTGTCTGTTTTCACAGAAATCACCAAAAAAGGCATTTTCAGCAGAAATATTGGCCCTAACAATTTAATTCAGAGAAAGTGTTATACAATGAGTCAATGTAAAACTGCATGCCCCATAACCAAGATATGCAATGAAGAACAGATTTCATGCATGTGGCAATCATCAGAACAAGTTGACAACCTTGGTCTGTCTGTTTTCACAGAAATCACCAAAAAAGGCATTTTCAGCAGAAATATTGGCCCTAACACTTGGGTAAATGAGTTTATCCCCAATCTCTAAACATTTTTGTATGAAATTTTAAGATTTACTAAGCATTTCAACTACCCTCACAACAGAATGAACTAATTAGCAATTGATCAAATCCTATTTCTACAAACAATATAAATCTGCGGTCAAAACAAACCATGAACAGTAACTTTCACATCTTCCTGTATGCTGTAACAATCAAGAGATATTCTCCCACCGCCACCTCCACCCTTCCCCCTCCCACCTGCTGCGCTTATAGTACCATATCCCTTCCTATGCAATTCAACAACAAAAAAAACAGTTAAATAGAATCAGCACATCTAGTTCATAATATGACAAGCGCAACATGCAATGCATCAAATATCTGTGGCTGATAATGGGCAGAAGATAACAAAATGTCTGGTTGAAATATTTCATCATTCAGCTTTTGAAGCTTTTTTGTGGAATGGGAAATGGTCCAAATATTCCTATGTGCTCAAAGAGAGACAAAAGAAACACATTTATCTTACGTTTTTTACCAATAAGGAATAGAAAAATAAGAACATGAAGAAAACTGTAAAAGAAAGGAATTTGAGCAGCTTAAAAACTTAGGACCCTTAGAGTTGTATAACAGCAATCGTACTTCTTTCTTCTAAGGATAATAAATCATATCAAGAAAGAAAGGAAAATATTACAAAGTAGAGAATGAGGTATTCCCCATCTTGCTCAACACAAAACAAAAAACAAGATGCAAAGACAAGAGAAAAGCAAAGCCCACCAATAAAGCTAAACATATCTTAAAGAAACTCCTTTGAAAGCCCTCGAGGCATAATTCCACCAAAAATGTAAGTAACTACTTTGTACCATAACAGATTTAAGGAAAGCATCTGATTGACAGACTGGTTATTATGGCTGAATTTTGGGCTGATTTGAAAGCAAGAATTAAGATGAATAATTAGGATTTACAAAAGGTGGGATTGAGAAGCAAAACTAAAGAAGAAAAGGGTGGGTTCTAGAGCAGTTTTGTAGAATTGCAATAGAGGATAGCCTGGAGGTGTATGTATTAATGCTGACTGTGTATGTATTAATGTCAATCACTCACATAAGTGTGAGACATAGCCCAAATACAACACTGACATTATTATTCTACACATATTTATCCATTTTAGATTGAAGCGAGGCTTTTCATGGTCTATATAAGAAAAATTCTTCATATATTCTAATACATGTGAAGGTTCCCTGGTTTCTGGCACTCTGTAACAAACTTTTAGTGTGTGTGTGTGAATCGTGGTATTTCATGCCCTATTATTTTCTTCTTTTTCACATCTTTCATAAGTGTGGGCATGTATGTGAGGTTGAAGGATCGACCTAGATCTGGCGCAAGAATAAAAAGCCCAGCAGAAGTTCATAAAACTCATTGAGAAACAGCTACAGGCGGACATTGATGACATTCATTTGACAGAGACATATAACATCAATTGATATTGAAAACAAAATTTCTTTTCATATCATGATCAATCAAATCTAATGGCCTAAATCATACTGATCTCTGATTTGATTACATCATCTATGGAACTTGTACAAGAGTTTGTGTACAGTTAGTGGAAAGTGGTAGCCCCTATTAATGATTCTAGCTTATTTGATCCATTAATAGGCAAACTATCAACTACACAAAGTACCCAAAGGAAAAAATAGAAAAGAGGCACAAGCATGTAAGTTTTCAATTCAAGGAGTCTGTAGTCTATACTCACAGCTTTATGGCATGTATGAAGATACTTCCCCCAGAACCACCTCCCCCATTCATTCCACCATCCCCACCTTCTGTAGTGACAGACCCATTCAAGTATAGCATATCATTCACTAGAAGCTTGACACGCCCTCCTCCATTCCCTCCAAACTTATTCTCTGGAGATGTGCCACCACCCCTACTTCCATAGCTCCATGGCTCAGCCAAACTTGACCAAGCATAAACGTCCCCACCCCAATTATTTGTCTTATTTTTTTTCACGCATGAAGCACCCCGACCGCCATGACCTCCACCAGCTCCATCATATCCAACTGGGGTGCCACTAGTTTGAGGAGGTGGTGGTCCCCCTAAACCAGTTGTATTTATCGAAGAGTCATGCTCCATGGTCAAGTTGGCAGCAGCAAAAACAACTGAACCAGCCAAAATAGCAGCATATCGACCAATGTTAACATTGCCAGTCATATTAAAAGTAATCATACAGCCTTCTATAGGGCACACAATTGAAACATGAGGGAGTATCTCAAGGTTTCCTGTGCCATATACATAAAGATCAGAATTCAAACGCTGGTTTGAATTTAGTAAGCAGGTGGTATTAAATGATCCAACTCCTCCTAGGTCCTCGCAAGATACAGGAGTGTTTAATTGGAAGGAAAACTCCATCAATTGGGCATAGTTGGACATGCCACTTCTAGAATCATTGCTTAAAACTGAACCAGGGTTTTGCAGCCAATTTCCTGACCAAACATCACCATCTCTATGCTGCATTGAATTAAGAGAAAGAATGGATGTACAAAAATGCCCCAAAAGAATGCACCACCAAAGGTAACCCCATACTGAAGAAGGACACATTACCACCCACAGTAACCCAAGTCAAGGGTTTTCTATCACCTACACACAAATTGTAGGTTCCAAAGGATTAAGACATTCAGTGAGGTCACAGAATTGTCCAGTACAGTCATTAACTCCCCAGATGTCCAGAGATATGATTGCTGTCTAGCAGAGTGACTCCTACAGTCTAGTTAAGTGAATCTAACCTGCCCAATGGTCATTGATCCACAGTTAAATGTGAACATGCAAAACTGAAAAGCCAATAAGAAAAACATTGATCTACTAACAAGTGCAGACAATTTAATTTCCAACAATGCAAATTGGGATATGAAAATAAAACAAGCTCAACAGATGAGTATGATACTTGGAACAAAGATTAATTTTTAATGCAGAGAAGTATATAAATTTCAACTTGAACTACTAATCTTGTCCATCATAAACAACACGGCATCAAAATAATACCTCTTTGACTTTCATTTTTATTACATAATTTCTAGCTGTCTAGAATGTCTTATTCTGCATCCTTAATCATTATGTGTTGAGAATTTACTTCCTTTATATATAATCATTATGCTCTATTTGAGAATTTACATCCTTCATAATTATCCATTGCATGAAGTCCAGTGCCTGGTTTAACAGAATCAGGTGATAGGTGATAAAAACAAATTAAATTGCTGGTATAAGTAATATCCAGAAGCGGTATAGATTAGTTCAAGTACATACATGTTGGCATTCATAATATATTCTTCAGGCAAAGCGAAATACAGATGGTCATGCAAATATTACAATCACTAAGCTCTACATTATGAGTATTTAACCCTACAAAATATGTAATTAAATTATGCAAGATGCCCATAAAAAATCAACCTTTTTCACATCATTTTCTGAGACTCTTTCTCATTCTTTCACAGAATAACCACAAGTCAGTAAGCATAATCCCTTTTTTCTTTCACTTTCATCATTAATACTAGATATTTCACAGCATTGCATAAATGCAAAAACAAGAATTACATGCAACTGATTACGGAAATTCAAAATGAAAATAACATATTCAAAATTGTATATATTTATGTATAAATAGATAAAATACAGTAACAATTATAAATGTACGTATAAAATAACAATTAAATATACATGTAAGCGTACATATATCGGTAATCAAGTTCATTTCTAAACTGAGCTCAAAACAGAGCATGTGAAACAACTTGATTCCAGAGAGAAAACACCACCGATCTTATCAATTATGAAATTGATATTTCAGAAAGGAAAATCAAACAACAAAAAGCCAAAATCAAAGCAGAAACAGCAAAATCTCAGCTAATTATCTCATATAGAGACTCCAATTTGAACTCAGATAAAAGAGATGAACAGATACAGAGGGAAAAAAGAGAGAAAGAGATAGTACCGTTTCGTGAGAGCGAAAACAGTGGAAAATTCTACTGAATCTAAAAATGAAGCTTCGCCTTTTCTAAACCGTTGCTACTTTCTGCTTTGTCTCTTTGCTTGCTTTCGCTTTCATCTGTTTTGTTTATTTACAATTATTAATTACGTTTTTTAAATATATTATATTGTTAGGGTGAGCAGAGAGAGAGAGAGAGAGAGAGAGAGAGAGTACAGAGGAGTCCTTTGCGAGTCCAAGCTACGTTTCTGCATTGCTGGACGCTGATGGAGATTTACTCGTGTTTTTTTAAGGAAATTCTGTCTCGATTGTCCTTGTTGTTTCCTCAAATTACGAAATGCCATTTTAATTGATTTTGCGTCCTAAATTTGTTTCGCGCTTATTGAAATTATAGTTGTATTCCACGCATTTTGCGGGTTTGATGCATAAAAATATTAATAATAAAATTTTTAAATTATAAAATTCTACTATTATTAATATTTTTATGGTCTTATGAGATAAAAACTTTAATATTTTTAATTAATTTAAACAACGGAAAATAAGTCATGAGAAAAATATTTTTCAAGGAAAATATTTTCCATGGAAAATACTTTTTAACAAGTTATTTTCTTACAAATTATTTTACAAAAATAAATGAAGTATTAATATAAACTAGAGTTACATTATTTTCATTGGGTTAAAAAAATAAAGGGATTTAATTTGATTGGTGATATTAATTTTCTTTTTAAATATAAACTAGTCATTAATCCGTGTAATGGGGATTGCATAATTTTATATAAAATTTTTTAATTGATTTGGATCGGGTAATTTTTTCAAAAACAAAATTTATAATTTATATTTATATTGATTAATTAGTTTTTTTATGACATGCATTACACATTTCTATTGCTCGTTTAATACTCATCACTATATTTTTTTATTTTTATATATAATATCAACTATTTATTTTAATTTTCATCTCATATTCTATGACTTTTTAGTATTAAAGTTTTAATTTAAGATTTAAATAAATACAACAAGTAATTTATATTAATACTTTATAAATATAATAGTTATTTATATTTTGTGACAATCTCGCATTATGCAACATGTAGCATCAAATTGAAAAAGAAAATGATATTTCTATATCTCCTTTCAAAATAACATTTTGAATATGAGCATTGTAGGTTGTTTGCATTCATTTATGTACTGTTGATTTATTTTTTAAAATATAATTTTTATTATCAATGATATAATACTAAATTTTATTGCACAGTTATGTTTTATTTTGTGTAGTTATTTAAGTATAAAACATATTTTCTGATTTACTAAAAAAAATAAAAACATTTCAGTTTCTTAAAATTTATGCAACTTCAATTAATTTTAATATATTTACTCTCGATTTTCAATCAATTATTATATAACAAATATTTTAAAATGAAAAAATTAGATCATCGTTGAAGGAAATATAGATAAAATCTAGTAGCTGCGAATACTCAAATTTTGAGGCTCAAAAAATCTGTTTTCACGGACTGCAAATAGTCCGGCCGGACCAGAAGTCATTCGAAAAGTTCACCGAAAGTATACCATTATGGTACTTGAAACGTCCGGAAAATTACGAGGATCGCGGAACTGGTCCCGGAATATTTTTCGAAGGTACGGAACTCCCGAAAAAGCCTTTGGAACGAAAAACTAGGAAGTCCGTCGGCCACGGCGGCGGCGCCCGCCCTCCGCTGCGGCAGCGGCCGCCCTCCAGCCCGGTTTTCCCTATATAAACAGCCCCGATGCGACTTTTTTACTCACTCAGTCTGTGTTGACGAACGCTCTCTTTGGAATTTCAAGCCGAAGCTAAGAGGGGTCGTTTGATAACAGTTACGAATGTATTTTAATTTAAGATTTTGTGAATATTTTATATTATATAATAATGAATTAAAACTGCTGATAATGATTAGTATCAATTTGGGCAAAATAAATGATAAATTAAAATAATTAAGTTAAATGACGGTTAATTCAATAATGTGGTGTTAAAGATAAATTAACATATAGTAAAAAGATAGTTTAATTAAATAAGTGTAATTGTTTATTTCGAAAGTTGGAAAAAGTAAATTAATAATATATTGTGGTAAATAGTTAATTTGAAACCTTTTTTTTTTTTTGAATAATTGAACTATATTGAATTAATTGATACTTTGGAAACAAATGTATAAGTAAGATCAAAATTTTTAGCGAAAATGCTTAAATCCGAAGTTTGGAAAAAAGTTGAATTAATAATCTTTTTTGGTAAAAGGTTAAATATAATTTTGGCGATAATGAATACAAATTTTTTTGGCCAAAAAATTGAATAAATAAATTTTTTGGCATAAAAGTTAAAATAATAATTTGGGGCAATCGTAAATTAATAATTTTGGAAAATTGATTGTAATAAATATTTTTGTAAGTTAAATTTTTGGCCAAAAAACAAAAATTTTTGCAATAAATTGAATAAATATCATTTTGGCAACAAATGCTTAAAATAGAAAATAATAAATTCTTTGGAAAAATGCATAAAAAAATGAACAAGAAAAACAATCATGATTAGCCATAATTAACTATAAAGATTTAAAAAAGTATCGAAAATACGTGTTTTGATCTTATAAAAAACCGGAAGTAAGTGACTATTGGGATTAGAGGAAAGTTGAAATCATTAAAATTTTCATATGGGATTACATAATTTAATTGAAAGGATTATCATTGGTTAGTTGATAGATGAAGTGGGATATGAGGGTTGTAGAATTTGTGTTAAATTGGTAATTAATCTAGTAATTAGGTTAATTAAATAGAGTCATTGGGTTTTTTTTAGTTTATATAAAATAATTAAAAAGGTGGCGAATCAAACATTAGTGAATTTTGTTAAGTCATATTATTATATGTATTTGTGGGGGAGGGGTTCAAGTTTGGGATGCTGGAGAATTTTATGTATCGTTTTATAAAGTGGACTAAAATTGTTGTGTAAATAAATGTTTTTTAAGGGCTATTATTTATATGCTTTGTTTTGAAGGGTAAAAAAGATTAAGTATTTTTCTTTAAGAAGTTAATAAGGAGAATTTGGATAATTGAAATTTATTTAATATGAAATTGTTTATTTATTTGACGAATTGAGAATATTTTAAAATTGAATAAAAAAAGAATTTAAATGAATTTTTTTTCAGTTAATTTGAGTCTGGAAGATAGAAGAGGCTGATGGAGGTTCTTGATTATGTCGACGAGACAAAGCGTTAACTGTTAACGAAAATTAATTTTTGGGGTGGATTGAGTATGGTATTGTAAGGAAGGAAAATTTGTTTTATGTGGTTAGGTATATATGAGGTAAGGGTATTAATAAGAAAATGATCTATTTGGTGTCGAGATATAAGAATTATTTTTAGGGCGTATGAAATGATGTGGATATATCATTAGAAGGAATTATGAGGTGATGTTGTGGATTCTGAATATAAGTATAAATTTAAGAACAATAAAAAGAAAATAAATATTTTTTTAGTAATGCAAATGGAAAAAGAAGTACCGATTATTCAGTAATGATAGATATAATGTATTTAGTATTTATTATCAGGTAAGTGTTGAGTGATATCAAGTTAGCC